GTCTCTGTGCCCCTCTGCCCCTTCGTGTACCTGCCCCTGTATCCCTTTTTCTCTGTGTTCCTCTGCCCCCCTCCCTCTGCCCCTCCTTTCTCTGTGCCGCTCTGTCTGTCTCCCTGCCCCATGTGCCTCTCTGTCTGTCTTCCCCCCTGTTCCCCTGTCCATCTGCCTCTCTGTCCATCTGTCATTCTGTCTCTCTGTCCATCTGTCTCTCTTTCTCTCAGCGCATCTCTCCATCTGTCTCTTTGTCCACCTGTCTCTTTATCTTTACCCCTCTGTCCCTCTGTTTATCTATCTTTCTAGCCACCTGTCCCTTTATCCATATGTCTCTCCATAATATAGTCTAACCCTCTGTCCCTCTGTCCTACTATCCCTCTGTCTTTCTGTCCATCTGTTTCTCTATCTCCCTGCCCCTCTCTCCACCTGTCTCTCTGTCCATATCCCTCTGTCTTTCTGTTTTTCTACCTCTGTCCTTCGATCCTTCTGTCTTTCTGTCTCTCTGTCTCCATGCCCCTCTGTCTTTGAGACCTACTGTCTCTCTGTCTCCATGCCCCTCTGTCTTTGAGACCTACTGTCTCTCTGTCTCCATGCCCCTCTGTCTTTCAGACCCACTATCTCTCTGTCTCCATGCCCCCCTGTCTTTGAGACCCACTGTCTCTCTGTCTCTGTGCCCCTCTGTCTTTCAGACCCACTGTCTCTCTGTCTCTGTGCCCCTCTGTCTTTGAGACCCACTGTCTCTCTGTCTCTGTGCCTCTCTGACTTCGTGCCCCTCTTCCCTCTGTCCTGGGCATAAGCATTAGAAGTATAGTCCATTGTCATACCAAAACGAGGTCTTAATTATTACCCACTTTTACAGCTGGTCTTACGCCATAACATCTCTGTTACGTACAGGATTGGCATCTTTTCTCCGAAGGCCTACCTAAATTAATTGTTCTCTGTCTAGCTCTCTTTTTGGTTCCAATTTGTCGACTGAGAGTCCGTACTTGCTATAAATAAAGCGGAACCCCCCTCCCCCCAACTCCCTCTTTTCTGTCTCTGTCGACCAGGCTGTGAATGTGAGTCCACGGGTTGAGGGTTGGGGG